GACTCCGCGGCCAGGGGCCGGGTTCTGCGCCGTGAGGGGAGTAAGGACGTCGAGCGCCGCCCTGCCCTCGGACTCCGGCCGCGAGGAAAGCGGGGACTCCGCAGAGCGGCTTCCCCACGCAGCCCCAGATTTCCGGCCGGTTAGTGCCGGAGGCGCGGCGCCGTCGCCACGCCCCTTGGCTCTGGTTGCATCACCGCCTGAGGGCGGGACTTCCTCTGGGGTCCCGCCGTTTCCGGTTCCGTCCGGAAGTGGATGGTTGATCCTGGCAGTACCGAGCTGTTCGCGCCGCCGCCGGCTGCGGCGAGGCACTCTTCGCGTGTTTTCTCGGTCTGGTCGGCGCTGCTGCTCGCCCGGCACTCCCGCTGAGCTGGCCTCCGCCCTGGGCCGCGCCCCTTCATGGCGGGCGCCGCTCCGCTCACCGCCTTCGGGCAGGCGGTGATCGGCCCGCCCGGCTCGGGGAAGACCACGTACTGCCTGGGCATGAGCCAGTTTCTGCGCGCCCTAGGCCGGCGCGTGGCGGTGGTGAACCTGGACCCAGCCAACGAGGGGCTTCCCTACGAGTGTGCCGTGGATGTGGGCGAGCTGGTGGGCCTGGGCGACGTGATGGACGCGTTGCGCCTGGGGCCCAACGGCGGCCTGCTCTACTGCATGGAATACCTGGAAGCCAACCTGGACTGGCTGCGTGCCAAGCTCGACCCCCTCCGCGACCACTACTTTCTCTTCGACTGTCCAGGCCAGGTGGAGCTCTGCACTCACCACGGTGCCCTGCGTAGCATCTTCTCTCAGATGGCTCAGTGGGACCTCAGGGTGCGTTTCAGTCGGGCAAGCCCATTTTGCAGATGGAGGAACTAAGACAGGGAGGAGAATAGATCCCACGCCGGTGGCACACAGCGAGGTAGGGGCCCAGTCAGTTTTGAGTAAAACAGGTGTGAGTTCGAATTCTGACTTTGCCACTGACTCGCTGTGTGGTCTGGGTAAGTCAGTTCACCTGTCTGAACCTCACTGCTCTCATCTGTAAAGTTGTTAGTATCCAGTTTGGGATTGGGGGAAGTGTGGAAGGGATTGGGTGGAAAGTGCCATGGTGATGGTTGTAAATTGGTGGACAAAAGTAAGTGGCACACGATGTAGTGGAATGTGGTAGGGTTTGAACCTGCTACTCTCTGAGAGGCTCAGTGCAAGGCTTCTTGTGAGGAAAAATGTTACAGATCTTCTAGGAGATGAGAGTGAGTGCTAAAAGGAAACAGAACAGGAGACTTAAGGCTTACTCCAAGCTCCAGTCTCCAAGCTCCAGTCTGATGGCGGAGACACCCAGGCTACTTTCACTCTGTCTTCCTCTCCTCCCAGCTCACTGCTGTCCACCTGGTGGATTCTCACTACTGCACAGACCCAGCCAAGTTCATCTCGGTACTGTGCACCTCCCTGGCCACCATGCTGCATGTGGAGCTACCCCATGTCAACCTCCTCTCCAAGATGGACCTCATTGAGCACTATGGGAAACTGGGTAAGAGCTCCAGTTCTGGGCAGGCAAGGAGGAGGCTGCAAAGCAGCAGAGTGAAAGAGATCACAGCTGAAAGACACTGTCTCTGGGACCATGCACGGCCCGATGATGGCAGCCACAGGCCTGAGTCCTGCCCATTTGTGTTGTACCACTGTGTATGAGAGACAGTCTTGGATTTGAGAGGAGAGAGCTACCTCTCAGGGAGGAATTAAAACAATGTGATATGAGGATGAGGGAAGAGAGTAGTGCCTCACTCAGTGACAGTGGCAGGTTTCTGAGCTGAGACCTGAATAGTGAGGAGCCAGCCCAGAAGCAGGGAACCCATAGGGGTAAGGCCAGTTTGGACTGCTGTGATGGTGGTGCAGTAGACCTACATGGGAAGGTCCTGGGAGCCGCCCCATACGTGCCGGGTGAGCACAAGCATGCCTGTGATCCAGGCTGGGTGAGGCTAGGGGTGGATCATGGCTTGAAGACCCTGTTTACCTGTTTCTCTCATGGAAGAAACAAATAAATAAACATGGACACAGACCAGGTGGCTTAAATGACACACATTTATTTCTCATGGTTCTGGAGGCTGAGAAACCCAACATTAAGTGCTGGCATATCCAGTACCTGATGCAGTCCCAGTTCTTGACTTTTAGACAGCTGCCTTCTGGCTATATCCTCATGGTGCAGAGAGACAGAGCAGGGATGGAGACAGGGTGAGACAAGCACAAGGTAGGGAAAAGTGAGGGAGAAGCAGTCTGGTATGAGGCCAGGGAGTTGCCTAGGATCCCAGTGCACATTATTATTATCATCCTTTTAATTTGCTAGTAGACACAGGCACTTGCTAGAGGAAGACAGAGAGAGAAAGTACCTCACATGGGGGCTGGCTATGTACAATTCCTTCTCCATCTCTCCCTCCTCTTGGGACTCAGACATGCCCAAAGTCTGGGATTAGAACCACAGATTGACCATGTGGGATCCAGCCACCTTAACCACTATACTAGGGGCAAGCCCCAGCACTTATTTTTATTTTTATTTTCTCTTAAGAGTTTTCGCTGTATAGCGCATGCACTCGCCTGAGAGACAGAGTCAGAAAGCAAGAAATCACCCTCCAGGGGGTATGGCCATGCTGCAGTTCCTTCTCCTTCATTCTCCTTTTGGGATTTTGGGTACACACGCACACATATCCAGCATGAGTTTTAAGCCACCGGGTCTGGGACTCACTACATGGGAGTCGAGCAACATAACCCTTAGGCTATCTTCTAGTCCCAGGGTCATCTGTTTTCTAAAGAGCATCTTAAACCACAAAAAAACTTAGAGGGTCCAGCAGGTGGAGTGATGGTTAAGGTCCTGAACTCCCACATGGTAGACCATGATTTGAGTTCCAGACCTGGTGGCCTGCTGGCTGGCTTCTCACTTTCCCTTTCCTTTCCTTTTTTTTTCTTAAAAAAAATTAATTAATTAATTAATTATTTTGGAGAGGTTTTTGCTATAGGGTGCGTGTGCTCCCCAGAAAGAGAGACAGACAGAAAGTGAGAAATCACCTTCCTGGGGAGATGGCCATCCCCTAATCCCTTTTCCTCCATTCTCCTCTCGGGATCTTGGGCACGCACGCACATGCACCCGGTGTGAGTTTAAGTCACCAAGTCCAGGACTCGAACTACGGTCGACTACATGGGAGTCCAGAGACATAGCCATTACACCAACTGCTGGTCCTCTTACTTTCCCTTTTTTTCTCTATCTATCTCTGGTCAAATAAAGTAATAATAAAATTAAATACATAATTTTAAAAAGTTCTGAAAAGGAAAAAGAACTTGAAGAACACCAGTTAAAACCATCAGCACATAGACAAGGAGGAAGGTTTTTAGGAACGTGATGTTTAAGGGCCTAATCGAGGAAGCTAACTAGCTACCAGTCAAGACATGGAGGATATCAGTACTTTGGAGAGGCCACATCATCCCACAGTTCTCGGCTCACTTTATCTGCTGAGGGGCCCAAATGCTTGCGTTTTGTGGGAAGAAATGGTACAGTGTGGGAGGTCCCACTTTCCTTCTGTTGGTGGAAAGTTATAGAACTGAATCAGAGACCTCAAAGTCATCTATTCTGATCTCCTTACTTTATATTAAAAAGGAACCAGCTAGGTCAGCCGGTGGCATAGTGAAGGCGGCTGGAACTCATATGGCCAACTGCACCGTTTAAATCCTGGACCTGGTGACTTGAGAAACACACCGTGTACAAATGCGTGCAAGCCCAAAATCCCAAGAGGATAATGGAGGAGAGGGAATTATGGCATGGCCACCATCCAGAAGGTGCTTTCTTACTGGCCCTCTTTCTCTTTCTGTCTCCAACAAGCGCATACACTCTAGCAAATTAAAAAAAAAAAAAGTCTAGAGAGGGAAAATTATTTACCCAAAAGGCCACCCCATTAGAATGTAGCTTTAATTCAATTTGACTAGCATTTTCAGAGTCTGTGTGTGCCAAGTCCTAGGGGGTACAAGGAACTATGAGCTCCATGAGGCAGACTCCAAGCACAGTTCTTGCTATATGTTCAGTATCGTTATTTACTGCCTGTGGTCAACCCCTTCTGTGTACTAGGCACTGGGGTATATAGCATTTAATCCTCACAACAGTCCCAGAAAGTGGACCTGTCCATACAGTAAATAGCGAGCCAGTAGGTAAAATCAAGTATTTTCTCTTTTTAGGAGAGGTTTTTGCTATAGGGCACGTGCGCTCACCAGAAAGACAGAGAGACAGAAAGTGAGAAATCACCCCTTTGGGGGAGGGGGCCAAGCTGCAATCCCTTCTCCATTCTCCTCTCGGGATCTTGGGCACACACGCACACGCGCCTAGCGTGAGTTTAAGCCACCGGGTCCGGGACTCGAACCGTGGTTGGCTACATGGGAGTCCAGTGACATAGCCATTATGCCAACTGCTGGTCCCAAAATATTTTATTTTTAAATAATTATTTACTTTGATTTTATTATTACTATTTGGTGTGGGGAGAATGTTTTGTGTTTTTTGTTTTTGCTATAGGGCGCATGCGCTCACCAGACAGACAGAGACAGATAGAAAGCGAGAAATCACTGCCCGGGGGAATGGTCATACCTACAGCAATCCACTCTCCTTCATTCTTTTCTTGGGATCTTGAGCACACATGCACATGCACCCTGCGTGAGTTTTAGCCACTGGGTTCGGAACTCAAACCGTGGTCGACTACATGGGAGTCTAGCGACATAGCCATTACGCCAACTGCCGGTCCCATTACTGTTTTTTAATTTAACTGGGGGTGTGGGGTGGGTAGTGAGAAAGCAAGCTACCAGGTTCAGGACTCAAACTGGGTTCAGCAATGCCGGAGTCCAGTGCCTTAACCACCATGCCACCTGCCAGCCTCCAAAACCAAGTATTTTCTTGTTGGTATCTTCCTTTCACTGTGCCAACAAATACTTAAGTGAATGAAGACGAAGGAAGGAAGGAAATACATCCTAATCCTCAGGTCTTCAGCCCAATGGCAGCTGCTTCTGATCACTGGTTCTGTCTTTAGCTTTCAACCTGGACTACTATACTGAGGTCCTGGACCTCTCCTACCTGCTTGATCATCTGGCTTCTGACCCTTTCTTCCGCCACTACCGCCAACTCAATGAGAAACTGGTCCAGCTCATCGAAGACTATAGCCTGGTGTCTTTCATCCCTCTGAACATCCAGGTACTGGGGATGAAGAGTCCTCTTCTCCTTAGTCACAGAGTTTAAGGGCCAGGGACTCTAGTGGGTAGGAGTCCAGTAAAGAGGTTGGACCAGATTTTTTGCCCTGTCTCTTTTGCGTCACTCGGTCATTTACACACGTTCCCTCCTTGGTGTGGAAAAGTGCAAGTTCAGAAAGTTGTCAGTAAGGTGGTCTAGCCATGGGATGCTGAGGTGGTAGGGGCATGTCTGTGCGAGGCTGGAGGCCATGGGGAGACTCCAGATTTGTGGATCAGGTCTACCAAAATGCGTCAGACAAGCCCATAGTCTTGGCTGGCTGCAGGGCTTGGGGGAGGATCATGGTATGAAAACTCTTTCAATGTGTGTGTACATATGTCTTTCTCAGAAAATAAATAAACTTAGAAAAAAGAAAGAAGGCTGACTCCATGGCTCAGTGGTTAAGGAAGCTAGATTCCATATGGCCCATCATGCAATTCTAATCTTGGCCCCAGTGGCTTGAATAATGCATCAGGTGCATGTGGGTGTATTCATCCCTCAAATCCCAACAGGATGGAGAAGGGATTGCAGTGTGAGCACGCCTCTTGGGGGCGCTTTCTACTCTCCCTCTCTCTTTCTCTGGCAAGTACATGCACACTCTGGCAAAAATTAAAAATAAATACATAGGGGGCCATCAGGTGGCATGGTGGTTAAGGTGCTAGATCCCACAAAGCTGACTTCACAGTTTTAAGTCCCAGACCTCATAGCTTGAAAATACACCGGGCAGGTGTGCATACATACCTAAAACCCCAAGAGAATGGAGAAGGGATTGCTGCATTGCCATCACCCCAGGAGGTAATTTCTCACTTTCCTTCTCTTATCTTTCTAGCAAGCAAAAAATAAAGTAAAAATTTTAAATACATAAAAGATTAAAAAAAAAAAAACAGTAAGAGGCTTGACAAGGACAAGGCTCAGGCATAGTCACCTGGGCAGCTGCCTATTGACTGTGCAAAGTGGTACCTAACCCCCATGCTTCTTACCTTGCTTCCTACATAGATAACGGGAGACACAGGCGTGTGTCAAATTCCTTTCTGTAGTGGATAGTCTTAAGCTAACTTTTTTTTCTTTCTTTCTTTCTTTTTTTTTTTTTGTTTTCCAGAGAGACAGAGAGAGGTAAAGGGAAAAGGCACCTCTCCCCCAAAGGGGTGTGGTCATTGCCTCAATCATTTTTCCTCCGTTTCTCCATTCTATCAGAATCTTTGGCATGCACACACATGCTATGAACTCACCTCCCTCCCCACATGCACTGTAAAGTCAGGGACTCACTTATCAAGCTATCCCCCCAGTGCCTGGCCCAGTGCTATTGCTAAATGGGTAACGAGTAAATATGTGTTACATGACCTACAATGATTTCTTCATCCACATACAGTGATGAGAACCATCCATATAGCATATGCTGGAAAGGACAGATCATACTGTTGGGTTATCAGGAAAGTCATGACACAGTTTTGCATAGAAAAAACAGGAAAATATTATTTTCCTGATGACCTAATAACTTACGGAGCCAACTCATGGCCTATGGATGAAAACGTTTTGTTTTTTTTTTTTTTCCTTTCCTTCCTTCCTTTCTTAATTTCTTTTTTCAGTTTTTCCCAAGTGTATTTTTCCTTTTTTTAAAATATTTTATACATTCAATCAGTTTACATCACTTAGCTTGTAAAGTGAATTTACCCAACAAGAATATACTTCACACCAGTCCCGTTCAGGATACTATACACTTTATCATCAACAAATAATAATCTATTTCTGTGTCCCATAAATGTCTTGCCTTTCTGTTTTTCTTCTTAATTTCTTTCCTCATACTCTTCCCTTCTCCCACCCTCTGTCTTCAGTATCCCTAACCTTTTTCCATGGTTGTATATCCTCTAGTCTTTCAGTTTCCGCCATAGAGTGTGGATAGTCAGTATATGTTAAGTGGAGATAAACAGTCTTTCTTTTATAGCCTAGTTAGCTTCAATCAGTAAATCTTCCATATTTGTCCACTTTGTATCAAATGCCAGGATCTTGTTTTTTTTATGACTGAGTAATATTCCTTAGAGTATATGTACATTTATTTTCTTTTTTTTCGGGAGGGAGAGTGGGAAAATAACTTCATTTTCTGGGGAGCAGGCAGATGTCCAGGCTCAGAACTTCTGGAACTGCTTCTTGGTGGCGGCGGCCTTGGTGACCTTGAGCACATTGAAGCACACGGTCTTGCTCAGGGGCCGGCACTCATCCACCGTGAAGATGTCGCTAATCTGGATGTCCCTGAAGCAGAGGGAGAGGTACACAGACATATTCTTGTGGCGCTTCTTGAAGCAATTATACTTGCAGATGTAGTGGAGGTCATCCCGGTGGATGACAGTGGTTCTCTGCATCTTCATCTTGGTCACCACACCAGACAGGATCCGTCCTCGAATGGACACATTACCGGTGAAGGGGCATTTCTTGTCGATGTAAGTTCCCTCGATGGCCTCTTTGGGAGTCTTGAAGCCCAGACCGATGTTCTTGTAGTATCTTGGAAGCTTCTCCTTGCTGGTTTCTCCCAGCAGGACCCTCTTCTTTTGGTAAGCACATTTGGTCTGAATGTCCACTATCTTCCTGGCCGCCTAAAAAAAAGGACTGTATACTTATTTTCTATTTCATCTATTTCTGCTCAAATCTTTGTTATTTATTTTCTCCTGGCTTTTTTGTTTGTTTGTTTAATTGTTTTTCTGATTCCCTGAGGCATGATGTTAGGTTATCCATTCACCACCTCTCCATATTTTTCTTACGCACACTGATTGCTAAGAACTTCCCTCTTGTGACTACTTTTGCTGTGTCCTATAGATTATGGAGACTCATGTATTCGTTATCATTGGTTTCCATTAATCTATTGATTTCAGTCTTAATTTCTTCAGTAGTTGTGAAATCATTTAGGAGTAGGTTGTTTAGTTTCCATGTGTTTGTGTACTGAAATTAATGTTAAGTTTAATTCCTTCATGGACAAAGAAGATGCTGGGTATAGTTTCTCTGTCTTTGAATCTGTAAAGCCTTGTTTTATGCTCTGTAATGTGGTCAGTCTTTGAAAATGTTACATGTGGGGGTGAGAAAAATGTATATTTCCTGGGTTTTGGGTGTAAGGTTCTATAGATGTCTGTCAAGTCCATTTGATTTATGGTATTGTTTAGATCCTGTATCTCTGCTTATTTTTTGTCTACATGATCTGTCCAAAGGAGATACTAGAGTGTTGAGATCCCCAATGTTTAATGTGTTGCAGTCTCTCTCTCCTTTTAGATCTAGCAGTCTTTCCTTTATGTATTTGGGTACTCCTAAGTTGGGTGCATAGATATTTATAAGCATTATATCTTCTTGATGAATTAGCCTTTTTACTAGTATATAATGCTCTTTATCTTTTCTTACAGTTTTTGTCTTTATTAAAGTCTATTTTGTCTAAGGTCAGCATTGCAACTCCAGCTGTTACTTGGTTTCCATTTGCATAGAATACCTTTTTCCAGCTCTTCACTTTTAGTCTATGTATGTCTTTATCCTGACAATTATTTCTTGTAGGCAGCAGATAGAGGGTTTCTGTTTTTTCATTCATTCAACCAGTCTGTGTATCTTGATTGGAGAATTTGATCCATTAACATTCAACATAATTATTGATATTTCTGGGTTTGTTCCTTTCATTAAATTGGCCATTTACTTGGATGTTTCTCCCTTCCCTTACTTCTGTCTTTAGTTTTCCTGGTATAGCACTCCCTTAAGAACTTCTTGAAGAGCTGGTCTGATGTTGGTAAATTCTTTTAGGTTTTGTTTATCTGAGAATGTTTTTATCTTTTCTTCCTATTTGAAGGATAATCTTGCCAGGTATAATAATCTTGGTTGAAATTGTTTTTCATTTAAGACTTTGAACATATTTTCTCTTTCTTTCTTTGCATTGTTTCCAGTGAGAGGTCCAAAGTTAGCCTGATGAGGTATCCTTTGTGCCCTATACAGTATCCTTTGGAACTTGATGTTTCTCTCTTGCCAGTTTTAGTATCTTGTCTTTCTCTGTGGTTTTGATCTATCGGGCTATGATGTATGTACCATGGAGAAGATCTTAGGTTGGATCTATTTGGGATCCTTTGTATTGGAAATGTTTGAATGTTTCTCTAGGTTTGGAAAGTTTTCTTCCAGGATTTCATGGAATAGGTTATCAGTGCCTTTATTAATTCTTCACTTTCTGGGATATCAATTATCTGGATGTTTTGGACATTTAATGATAGTATTTCTCATATATTATTCTCATTTTGGGGGGTTATTTTCTCGGGGTTTCTTAGTGATTTTTTTTTCTAGGTCAGAGGTTTTGTCTTCTACATCTGAGATTTGATCTCCTGAATGATTTAATCTGCTTTTAATACTTTTTAAAAAACTAATTAATTAATTAATTAATTAATTTTAATTTGACCAGAAAGAGAACGAGCCAGGGAAAGTGAGAAAGCAAGCCGCCAGGTCCAGGACTTGAACCACAGTTGGCCATGTGGGAGTCCAGTGCTTCTAACCACCATGCCACCTGCTGGCCCCTGCTTTTAATACTTTTGAGGGAGGTTTTGATGTCCTGTATTACAGCCTAACAGTTCCATTTGATTCTTTTTTATGGTGTTTATTTCTCCTTTCAAATCTGGAAGGACTTCCTCATTTCCTGGGGTTCATTGTCTCTTTTCTCTTACATTTTCTCTCTTCAAGGAAGACAGAATGGGTCATGTGGTGTGGAAATTGAAGTGTGAAACCATCAGGAGATAGCGGAGGTCCTAGGGTGGTCACTGGCCCATTCTTGTCCTAGCTGGAGTGGATGTTTGAAAGACCTAGGGGGGCAGGAAGGGGTGGAACTCTCCAGATCCTGGTTAACACACCTTAGATTCATTTAGTTTTGTCACTATGAATATTCTGAATTTTTTATCTGACATTTCCATGAGTTCTATTGTACTGTGTGAGGATGATGAGGAGTTGTTGTTTTCCCTTAAGGGAGAGATACTTTTTGGCTTCTCATATTTCTTGTGCCTCTGCAGTAGTTCTAGTCATCTGATAGATTATATCTTTCTTTCTCATTTTTTGGAGTTAATTCTGAGCATTCAGAGGCTTGCTGGAGGAGGTAATCTGCAATCTCTCTGCAGTACCGTTTCCCTGATACTCAGTAACCTGCACGTTTGTCACTGGAAGTGGATATTCCAAAGGCCTCCCAGTTTCTAGAGAACAGGTGCACCTGGGCTGAGGTGTGGGATTTCAACTAAGGTCGTATGGTGTGGAAACTGAAGTGTGAAACCATCAGGAGATAGCGGAGGTTCTAGAGGCCCGCCCTTGCTGGAATGGATGTTTGAAAGGCCTGGGGGGCAGGAAGGGGTGGAACTCTCCAGATCCCAGTTAACACACCTTAATAGCCTTAAGAGTTCAAAGACGTTTGGGAGGAGATGATTTGCTGCGCTCTCTCTGCAGCTCCTTCTCCCCTGCCACTCACTCTGCGGTCTTTCTTCTCTGATTTTTAGTTATTTGGTAAGGTATTCACTTTGGGCTAATTTGTTGGAGAAGGTTTCTGCAACTGTAAGCTTGTGTGCTTCCCTTTACTGTGAGGTACTTCTGTGCCAATTTCTTCTACTGTGTTTTGCAATGTGGTAGCCACAGAAAGATATTTGAGAAGAGTCATTTCTCCTTTTGTGCAGCAGGTTAAGTGGGGGTTGAGGATTTCTCTGACCCTACCAGTATTCAGATGTTTGGCCTCTGTGTACCAAGACGTGTCTAGACACTCAGTGTGTGGAAGCTTGAGCAGCAAAGTGTGGAAGTAAGGTAAAAGAAAAAAAAGACGGGACCAGCAGTTAGTGTAATGGCTATGTCCCTGGACTCCCACGTGGTCGACCGCGGTTCAAGTCCCAGACCCGGTGGCTTAACCTCACGCCGGGCGCGTGTGTGTGCGTGCCCAAGATCCCAAGAGGAAAATGGAGGAGAAGGGATTGCGGCGTGGCCATCCCCTCTGGGGGGTGATTTCTCGCTTTCTGTCTCTCTGTTTCTCTCTCTGTCTGGCGAGTGCACACGCCCTATTGCAAAAACCTCTCAAAAAAAAAAAAAAGAAAAAGAAAAGAAAAGAAAAAAAAACAAAAAAAAAATGAAACCCACATGGCACACAAGTGCATGCCATGCAAAATAGGCAGGGCACCCTCAGATGTAGATGGCATCTGAAAGGGCCTGCAATTTCCCTGTTCTTTCTAGCTTTTTTCCTCCACATTTTACTGATTCATAAAATACTTTAAAACTATGGACAAAGCTAGAATCTAATTACAAGTGCACTGTAATTTTCTTCTGATAATTAATTTACATTCATTCCCTGAGCATTGTCACAGCATACAGAATGTAATTTCCCATCCAAAATATACTGCATAGTGGCTTAATCATACATGTTATCATTAATTTTCCATTTCTAGTTTCATATACGTGTGTGTGTGT